TCATGTAGAATAAAATTATGCATGCTCATTTTCATTTTTTAAATATTTATTATTATCTTAAGAGTTTTTGAGACAGGATCTTATTCTGTATTTCAGGTTAGGTTTCAACTCACTATGTAGTCCATGCTGGCCTAAAACTTGAAGCAATCCTCTTGCATAAGCAAAAAAGCTTAACAAATGTTTCAAGAATGTATCTGAAATAAGTAAATGTTCCCATTTGATCCATGACAAAAACAATATCTTGGTCACTGCCAGTATCTAAAATATGTAGGCTTTGGGCTGGGGAGATAGGTCAGTGGAATAAGTGCTTGCCCGGCAAGCGCAAGGTCCTGAGTTTGATCCCTGGTACCAACAAAATAAATAAATAATAAAAGATAAATAAAATCTGTACACTTAAAAAAACCAATTCAGTTATTACAATTTATTTACTAGCCAAATTGGACTTCCATATGGTAACTCCAATCTATTAATAGCAAATACTCTTTGTATCAGCTGCCTAAATATTTTTCCTAAGAGATTAGATAATTATTTATTGTTAGTATTTGAAGATCACTCCCCAGCAAAGTAAAGGGACTTATTTAAGGTACTTCAACTACTTGAAGGCTTCTTCAAAAAGCTCAGAACACACACACTATTTCACACAGCTGGTAGAAATTCAATAACCACATTGCTTTAGAAAGTGTAATAATTGTAGCTAACATTTTGATTGCCTACTCTATGTTAGATACTGTCTTATGAGCTTTACATGTGCTCACCCATTTAACTCTTATTGGTCATAGGAGGTAGATTTTATTTGTCCTTATGTTAGAAACAAGAAAACTGAAGTACAGGTATTTTAGGTAACTTTGAACAATATTACACAGAAATGTTGTTACATCATTTCAGTTGGTTTTGGATTTTGTAAATGGTGAAAATTATAAACATTAAGAAAGAGTGTCTGTAAACTTACAGACACAGACTCTTTCACAGCCCTTCTCCCACAGCAGTGGGGACTGAACCCAAGAGCACTTTAGTACTGACCTATATTCCTCACTACTTTTCATTTTAACTCAGGGTCATACTAAATTGTCCAGGCTTAGCCTGCTTTCCAACTTGCTGTTCTCCTGTCTCAACCTCCTGAGTAGCTGAGATCACAGGCGTGGATCACAAGGACTAACCTCCTCCCACTCTATGAGAAGAGATAGTTAATCTCCACACTGCCACCAAACGTGTACATGAATGTTATGGTTTATGTCTAGTTGTCCCCCCAAAGCCTCATGAATTCGTAGGGCAGGGACTTCCAGAGTTTGAGACTAACTCATGAGCCACTGGGATTATGGGTCTTAGTACTGCTGGGATTATGGGTGTGAGTGCTTCTCCCAGCCTTGGGATAGATAGCCTGAATGTAACATAAGAGAAACAGAGAGACAGACTTCTCTCTCTGTTGTCATTGTTACTGTTCCACTGCCATGAACTGCTGCTCTCTGCCATGTGCCAGCCTGCCCTGGAGCCAGCTGAGTATGGACTGAAACCTCGAGTAACTGTGAGCTAAACAAACCATTTCTTCTTGCATTTTTGGTGGTGGGTATTTGTCCCAGCAATGAGAGAAGAGTAACTGAGACAACGGGTGAATGTTTGTGCACATAGTAATTTATAGCAAGTATCAATTCCTATTGTTGATAATTCATTTGCTTGTTATATAAACAGTATTATATAGTATACAGATATTTTAAAACTTGTTCAAATCTATTCGTAAACTCAGCAAAAATTTGGATATTTATGCACATTACACTAAGTAAATTGTATAAATTTTAAAGTTTTAAATTAATGTATTAACTACTGGCATTCCTTAATTACCTACGGATTAAGACATGCTGAAGGCCTTATGTTAACATAGAAAAAAAAAAAAAAAACACCTCAGAGTACTGAGTAAGAATTTGGAGATAATGGGCCTAATAGCGTGTCTACTTACCCACATCCACATCATCCCCAATGCACAACAACACTGAACTGTATCTCATGAACCCTGAAGTCTACACAACCTCTAGGTTAGACCTTAAGCCTTCTTGTACTGTGCCAACCATCTGACTGCATCTTTTGCTGCTTGGAACACAAAGATCATAATATGCTAAATGTGAAGGATAGGTATACTTTCTGTAAACCTCAATTTTCTTGGTGGTAAAATCAGACTGCTTCATATTTATATTAAACACATTCTCCTTTTAGCAAGAAATTTACCTCTCTATTAAGGTTTATTCATCTCTCAAATGAAGGTATATGTGAAGAATTTATGTGCTAATAAGTATATGCCCCATACATATAATGGAATGAAAATTACCATCATTTTTATAATACTAATTAAAATTATTATTCTAAAACAAAATTGAGAAGTTCCAACTGATAGCTAATATTTAAAGCGATTTTTAGGGATCAGGAGATAGCTTGATGGCCTAAGTGCCAGGCTGGTAAGTGCAAGGACCCGAGTCTGGTTCCTGGTACCACATACCAAGCTGGCCCCAGAACCCTGGGCATGCCCTGCTGGCCTGAAACCAGGTGTGGTGGCCCACGCCTATAATCCCAGCACGGGGAGGCCAAGACAGGAGGATCACGATGTGTCTTAGCTGCATAGGGAGACTCTGTACCAAATAATTTTTTTTTGATTTAAGTAATTTTTAAAAACCTATCACCAAACTTTAATTTTATTTTAACAATGATAGCTAAAACTTTCTAAGTACTTAATATTTGACAAAGATAGTTTAATGCAAGCACTTTATTAAAAAGTGGTAAGAATGATATGATTTACTTTAGGTAATGTTATTATTATCCCCATTTTATGTTTTTGAACTCATACTGATCCTCCTGCTTTCAGCTCCGCCCAGCACTGGGATTACAGGCATGTACCACCATGCCTGGTCTTGCCCACGGGTGGGGGCAGGGCCAGCACGGCATTGGTGCTGAGGATTGAACCCTGGTCCACAGGCACTTGATCCACTAAGCTATCTCGCCCACCCTTGTTATCCCCATTTTACAGCTGAAGGAGAAACACACAGTATGAAGTGACAAACTCAAAGGCCTGGGTCTCATAACCACTTTATATTAAAGAGCTTAATAAATAAATACACACACACACACACCCCATGGTTTTCAAACACTAAATTATATGTCTACTCTTAAACTTTTTGGGGCGGCCAAATAGCTCAGCGGATTAAAGCGCCTGCAAGCATGCACAGGGGTGGGGGGGTGGGGGTTTGATCTGGCCCCACCCCCAAGGTGCACTGAGAGGGCAATTGAGACTGGGTGTGGTAGCACACCCTGGAATCCCAGCTCTTTGGCGGCTGTAAACAGGCAGATCACTAAGAGTCTGATTTAGCAGTGAGACTCTGAACACCCTGTAGACCCTTCCCTAAAAAAATGTATTAAAAAATTAGCTTTTTTCCTGTTCTCCCTCCATTCCTGTTAAGTCAAAGGATTAAAAATGGACTTAATTCTGCAAGTAGGTATTTATATACACTTCTGTTGAAAGATGAAGGTATATATGATCAACTTGCTAAGAGTGCAAAGGTTATATAAAAACGGCGGTAGGAAAGTTACTCCCTTGTAATACCTTTTAAGATGAAAACAAGTATGGTACATACCATGCTGGAAATGGAGACAGTAACTAAGGATTAGGAAAATATATAAAAGGTTAACAAACGTGAACATTCTGGTCCTTCATACTCCATTCTTCACACACTTGCCAACAAGATCCAATGTGAAGGTATCAGTCACATTATTTCCTGTTCCTCCTTTGCTTAAAATCCTACAACCAATGCAAGCTCCTTACCACGACCCTGAAATCCGGAGCTTGCCCACCCCTTCACTCCATCCCCAACTGTCCTCTCACTGACTGTGCCATGGATGCCACGTGAGCTCTCTTCCCCTCCAGGCTCATTTCTGCCTGCACCGCTCCCTCACCTAGAAGGCTCGCATCCCATATCTTCTCAAGGCTTTACTTTTCTTAGTTCAAACATCGTCCTCCTCTGATGCCCCATGACCACTCCATAGAAAGAAACCATACTTCCACTCCAGTCTCTTACTCACATTCCCTATTTTATACCTTCATCGCACTTGCTGCTATCTAAAATTTAACCATCTCTTTTCCTACTCTTGTAACTAGTACCTAGTATAAAGCGGGCCCTAAATAAATATTCGTTGAACAACTAAGTAAAAAGCACTAAAGAAATAATGAATAAACTAATTTAAATGTACTAAAGACCAAATCTGAAGAAGCCATAAGGAAATAAAGAAGTCGGCCTATCCTAAGTCTACTTATGACTGTACTTACTTGAATGGTCATATGAATAAAAGAATACAGGCAGTTAGATGTTTAAATGCACATCAAATGAGTGTCCTTTGATAATGGCAAGAAAAACCATGCTCCAGAGAGTATTTCCCTAGTCAGCCTATTTTTCACCATCCAAATTTTCTTTTCCTTATTTATTATAAAACACAATTTGGAAAGGAAGAATGACAAATGAGTAATCTGACTACAAATTTTATTTAAACTTCAATATATTTTCGCAATTCTTATCTTGTGCTTCACTTGAAAGAAAAGCAACTACAGAAATATTGTCATGGCAACTTCTTTCAAAAAGATTTCTTTCATTTAGAAATTTTAAAATGCACTGTCAGTCTTTAAACTTTTAGGGCTTGCACAGTCTTCAGTAAGACAAAGCACATGAAAGATCTCACACACTTCAAGCACTATAAAACTAAGACCGAACAGTTCCTATGTACTATTAGGCAATTACTCCCATTCTTAGTGCTTTACCACAACATCTCTGTGGCATCAGGCATGCTACTGATTTTACTATTACATGTATTTATCATTTAATGAAGGCCACCTATGTCAGCTGAAGTTCAAATTGTGATAGGCAGAGAGAATAGGAAAGCAGCATCTTCAGTACCTCAAGCAACCAGCTCACAGACATGAAAACTGAACTTTTCTTGCTATTTCTTCTAATGTGTGTGGTAAAATAAAGTGTATTATATGACAGCTATTAGATTTGGGTGTCATCCTTGTGCAGGGGCCATGCTAATCTTCTCTGTATCGTTCCAATTTTAGTATATGTGCTGCCGAAGCGAGCACCAGCTATTAGATTTGGGTGTTTCGTATTTTTAGTACTCAATACCTTTACCTATAAAAACAGGGAGGATATCCAAACAATGAAATTTTATTCATGCTCAGTCCCATCAAGTATCATATTTTTGGACTTTAAATGAGAACCAGTACTTTAAGACTATTATTACATCATTAGGCTGGGAGGGGGTTGAACTCAGGACCTCACACATGATCCGCAACAGTTCTACTACTGAGCAACATCCATAGCCGTATTACACTATCTTATAAATTTTCATCTAATGACTCCAGAGTCAATACTTTGACTCACTTAGTTACCTGAAAATTCCTAAAGTATAATAAATAGTGTAAAGAGGCCAAACATATTTTCAGAAATTATAGAATAATAAAATACCATTCTTTGGATGAATATCATAGATGGTCAAAGTTTCATTCTACTTAAATACTCTGAAAATTCTCATTTTCTTTTGAATTATCATCATGATAACCAAATCTCCTACTGTCTACCTCAATATGAGGCACACAGGAAACAATCAACATATCCTCAATTTCAACTTTCATAAAACATAAATTCCAGCCAACTGACTACCATCCAGAAAATACTGATAATATTAGACAAAAATCTAACAATGTGACCCAGGATTGAAATATTTTCACACATAAGTATTCTTCAATACATTCGAATTTTTTTTCTATGACAAACTCAGGAGGACAAAAGATCATTTAATAAATATCCAGTTTTCATATCAAACAACTTGATGTGAATAAACAGTAAATTGTGTGAAATTATATTAAAGTTAGTACAATCCACAACATATGACTTATAGTAAATATCACAAGAAGTTGTAGTAATGTCCTATGGAAAAGAAAATATTTAAACCAGCTTTTTAAAACAAAGATGAAATATACAAACACAAATATGACCGATGTATCTTTGCTAAACTATCAAGCTCTTATTATCCTAAAATTACAATGTCTCCATCTGTTAATCTGACAAGAACAAGCTGATAAATGAAATTCGAACAACAGTGCATACTGACAAACTAGAGACTTCCTGAAAACCTAGAAAAATATGTCCACAACAGATGGGTCATTTAGAAAACAAATACATCAAGCTGTCAAAGTAATGTTCTAATTTTCTAAATTAATATCAGTAGGAGCTCCACTTTCAAAGAGTCTGCAACACTAGGAAGGCCAAAGAAGAAAAATCTAACGATGCACATAAACCTCAAGTGCTATAATTTTAGGTTTCCTCTAAAACATACTGAATTTAGGTAAAGTCCTTACCAGTTAACTTCTTCACAGGTTGGAGCCGAACACTGATAGACTGATGTGTGAGTAAGGGGGAGGATGGAAGAGAGCGAGACATGCCCTCCATAATCCGAATGTGCTGCATACCTTCACTCATTGGAAGTGGTGGAACAGCGTAGTCAGGCTCAAAAGCACAGTCACTTTCTGTGGAGATGCCACCTATTAAAAGAAGAAGAAGTCATAAAAGACCTGGTAAGAAAAGATTCTTCCATCCTTAATAAAATATGTACTTTAAGATTATTCTGAATAGTACATAGAAACATTGATATTCACTGTGAGAAACCAAATAAAGTATTTTTCAGCATATGCATTTATTTATGCACTAGTATATATTCAAATCTGGGTCTAGTACTAGGAAATGGGAAGAGAAAAGGGTCCTCCTCAGGAAGCTCGGTTTCTCATGAGAAATGCAGTTATGTAATCAAAGTATAATATTATCACAGGTTAGATCTGTAAAATGTGTCCAAAAGTCTCATATGTTCAGCACTGGGGTACTCTGAAAGGTGATCTGATCACTTCGATTAATCCACTGATGAGTTCACAGGTGACTATGATGGCAGGAAGCAGGACTTACTTGGAGGAAGTACTGCACTAGGGCATAACCTGAAAGGATACATTTTTGAGTACACTCTTTCTTTCCATTTTCTCTCTGCACCCCAAATGTCATAAGGTGAGCAATCTTTCTCTGCCATGCCCTTTCACCATGGTTCTGTCTTAAATCCAGCTAAGGGCTGAAACTTCAGAAACTGTGAGCCAAGATAAATCTTCTTCCTTTTAAATTGTATTTCTTGCATGCCTGATGAAAAGGTGACTCTTACAAACATAGTGTTAAAATTATAGTGACCTTAACTGTTTTACTTCATAGAAAATGAAAGATAGTATCTACCTTCTTAATTTAACAATGTTCAATTGCTAGTAGGATCACTGTAATTCTATCCATTTCTTTGTCCCCTCCCTCAAGAATACGCATTAAAACACAAGTGGGAAGATTGATATTATTATATAGTGAATCTGTTCATTAAAAAAAGTAATAATAGCTATTGATTTTCACTCCTGGTAATGGCAGATTATGTACCTCAACCTAACTTTTCCCTGAGAAAAACTAGAATAAATATATTTAAATTCTTCCTGAGGCAATGGAGAATGAACAGCATGATGAAAAATTACAAGGCAAAGACTGAAGTCTGGCACTTGGGACTACTATTTACTTAGCAACATTAGAGAAGCTAAGAAGCTATGAGTTTTTCAGAGTCGGGAAAAATATATGAGAGTCTAGGACTCATCAAAGTATGAAGGAGAAGCCAGGAAAACACCAACACTTTCATTGAAAGTACAAAGGAATAAATATAAACTAAACCCAAACTGGCTCTCATGAGGCGTAAGGTTAGTAGTAAATATCTTCCACAAAATTAAATAAAGGCAACAATAAATTGCGAGAGCCCATCAAAGCAAGTATGTCTTCCTAGAGGAGGATAATCTCATCAAATAATTTATAAAACTTATTATATATAATACCTATCCCTTAAGTAACAATAACATATATGAAAATATGAACAAATTAAATTTTAAAAGCCACTTAAGTCAGAAATACAAAGTATGGAACAAGACACAGAACTTAAAGCAGTATACTTAATATGCTTAGAAAATAAAAGTTTTAAATTTTAAAAATAAAAATTATACGGGGCTGGGGAGATAGCTCAGTGGAGCAAGTGCTACCTGGCAAGCTAAGGTTCTGAGTTAAATCCCGGATACCACAAAATAAATAATAATTATAATTTTAATACATGAGTTACCAGCAGGTTAATTACAGAAAAGCAAATCAGTAAACTTAAGGATATATCAGAAAAAAGTGTTACAATGATGTTTAGAGCACTAAACAAATAGAAATGGATTCTTAGCTATGACACCAGAAGACTGAGCAATAAACAAAACATACAGTTAGATTTCAATGAAATTAAAAACTTCTGTACACCAAGATACCATAAAGATACTATATTACCAAATCATGTATCTGATAAAGGTTTATCATCTAGAATATGTAAAGAATTCATATTCTTGAAAACAGAAAAACATTTTTAAAATGGGCAAAGAAATAGACATTTCTCCAAAGAAGACATACAGTGGTATACTGGTTCACAAACTTGATTCTTTCCACAATTCTAGACACAAATCATGTTGGATGAGAACTGAATCAAATCTAATGGTTGAATGTTGCCCTTATGGGGAAATTTGATTTGATTCTCATTTAGTTTGGTTTGTAACCAGAATCATGGAAAGAATTGAGTTTGTCAACTTGTACAAATTGTCCATAACCACATAAAAAGATGCTCAACCATACTTATATAAAGCAAATCAAAGACAAAATGAGAGATCACTTTATACTCACTAATGTGTATACTTTTTAAAGACAAAAAATGATGAGAATACAAAGAAACCATAACCCTCATATACTGATGACAGGTATGTAAGAAGGTATCAGTTTTGTGTAAAATAGATTAGTGGTTCCTCAAAAGAGTAAACACAGAATTACTACATGATGCAACCCTTCTCCTTCTTTCTTCTCCTGGGTATGTATATACCCAAAGAAATAAAAACAGGTTTTCAAGCAAAAAATTGAGTAAGAATGTTCATAGCAGCATTATTTATAATAGTCAAAGAGTAGAAACAACCCAGTAACTGAAAAATGGATCAATAAAATGTAGTATGTCTATATAATGGAATATTTAGCCATAAAAATAATGAAAACTTGATTCAGGCTAAATATTTTAAAATCTTATAATGAATGCTAAGTAAAAGAAGATAGTTACAAAAGGCTACAATGTTGTATGAGCCTATTCACATACAATTTCAGAGTAGGCAGAGCCAGGAAGACTGAAAGTAGAGATTTGCATGGATTAGGAGGAAGACTGAACACATATGGCTGCCAAACAGGTACAGGGTTTTCCTTTGGGGTTATGTATTATATCACAGTGATGCCTGGACAATAAAATGCCCTGAATCATTGGATGGTATTCATGGGAGAAGGGAGTCGGTCCTGAGGATGGACCCCAGCGCCTCACACATGCCAAGCAAACACTCTACCACTGAATTACACAACCAACCTCAAACTGTAAGGTTTATGATGGCAAATTTTATAGTATATAAATTTTACCTCAATAAAATTTACAAAGATGTTTACAACCAATCACATTTTTCAATCTAAAATCATAGAAATTCTTTTGTTTTTCCATTTCTCAATAATTGTATTAGTTCTACAAAATGTCAAAATATATTTCAAAACTACTATGAACTCCATTTCTCCTACCACTATATTAGTCTAAGGCTACTATTATCTTTATTCAAAAATTCTATTGTAAGAAATCTTAAATTTATTTTTTATCCTTAGATTTCAGAAATTTTTTTAAATTTTATTGAGAAATAAATATGAATGAGACAGTTTCAAAGCTGATTAACAGGACAGCTTCGATAATCAATAAATTGTACATTGTTATCTTTTTAGTGGTTATCCATAGTACAAGAAGCAGACATGATATCCTGTCCAAACTCTATTAGTACACCTCTTTCTTCTCATTGAATTAAGCGAAAGTAGCTGTATATCTATCCTATTTTGTGTATATATATATAAATACAAAATGATATTTCCTTTGTATCCCCTTTTTTTTGTTTAGTCCTGTCAGAGGTGAATATTCTATTGGCAT